GGGGGGGGGGGGGGGGGGGGGGGGGGGGGGGGGGGGGGGGGGGCGCAATCCTCGAGACGGCGGAGCATTGTTCCCACAAGACCTATCACCGATGGCCAATCGTTCCTTCCTACTACGCCAAAGGTGGCTCATACATGTGTATCCCTATCTTATCTGTGTCGCTGATAAGAGGTGTGCGTATGGACGTGTGTGTGTGCAATCTTCAAAAAGCATCGACCGCGCTAACCTTCTGACCACTGAAAATGCATCGTCCTGTGTGTCTACATATCTTCCAATGGCATCGACCGCGCTATCCTTCTGACCAAATGAACATTCGATAGACTTTGTGTGCATCGTGAAGGGTGTGTGTGTGTCAGCAAACAGCATCGACCGGGCTAACCGTATCAACAATCAACACGCGTGTGCACACACGTACCTGGTACATGTAGTGCCAGAGCATCTGCTTCCCGTCCAGGCCTTCCTGTCGAAGCACGTCGTCGTTCACCTGCCCCAGCTGCTCGTAGTAGACCACCGCTCCCGTCTTATCCTGAGGGTTGGTGTTGTTGTTGTTGCTGTTGTCGTTGTCGTCTTTGACTTGGAAAAATCGTCTCCGATCAGTACCTTCATAACATCCGCACTGATCCAACTGGCGCAGAAGCCTCCCGTCGTTACAGGCGTTGAGGACATGGAAAAATATGAACCTAAATCTCTGAACGCGAGATACATGAGGACGACTCTTTTCCTACCAGAAGCGGCGAGGGCGTGACGAGTGTTTTGCGGAAAGCACAAACGGGAATAAAACGGGAATAAACCGCCGTCAACGGAACAAGACCAAACCGGAAACCGTAGACAGAGGAAGACCAGCCGGAAACCCGCAGAGCAAGTGAGGTAAACCGCTGCAGCCGGAACAAGACCAAACTGACAACCGTCGACGGATTGAGCCCAACCTTAAACACGCAAAACCAGGAAGGCCGCTGTCGAACCTCGTACAAGTCATACCTTTCCGTGGAAGTAGGTGGGGTAGTGCTTCTTGATGAGGTCGAAGCGGGGGTGCGGGGTGGCCAAGGCCGTGTTAGCCCCCGATTCTTCTCTCCACAGCAACGTGGCCTGGATGAATAGAATCAAGCAGCAGCGACTTAATTCCTATTGTGAGCCACAAACGGCCGCTTTATACGCCTCAGTGAAGGGGATTCCAACTGGGCTCACAAATGGCTCTCAGGTTCACATGTGTATCATTTCGCCTGTTTTCGTGCTTTGGGATATCTTTCGCTGGCGTAAGTGAGTCTTTTCTCACGCTTCCTTCTCAGGGGCACGCGGGGGGATCGTCGGTACGTTTCCGCGCACGCCCGAGGACTACCAACAGTCACCCGTGGCGCTTGTGCTTGACCGTCAAAGATGAAAATTAAACAAAAGTTTTAATTGTACCATACATGATCATTAAGTTATTAATTGCCAAGGGCGCTATCTGCATACCCGGAGCAGAACGAGCGATGGGCAGAGGCAGTCAAACAGACCACCGGAACTTAAGCCGGTCCCACGATTCTCGCGGGCAACAGAAGCAAGCAGTGCCTCGTTGTCTATGCACATGAATGACAGAAACACAGAGCTTAACTCGAGCTACCCCAGACCAAGCGCGCTAGGAGAACCGCCGTCGCCGCCGGGTTAGAGCTCGTCCGCCTCGACACGCACAAACGCCAACCGAGAGAAGAGCGTTCGCGACAAAAACAGTAGTCGACGGTGGTGCCGACGACTACCATAGGAAAGGCGTAAGACGGCCACCCCTGGCCGACTTTCAAAGGTCGAGTACGCACTCGACAGCAGGCGCGGCGCCGGAAATGGCGGCGGCGGCGGCGGCGGCGGCGTTGGAACCGTCTTGCCGAAAGCTTTCAGAAAACGTGTGCTTTGGTCCGTGCCATCGTGGAGTTCGAAAACCGGTTTGGGGG